TTTATCATTTTATAGATAAATGTAAGATCCCGTAACCCTAATCCCAAACCTAAACATACCCATTTTATACTTAATATAGAAAGGATAGAACGTAACGGACAGATGTGTCGGGAAAGGGCAGTTTTAGTAACAATATAGCATTAACATATATTTTTAGCCACCAATCCTACTCGTACCTCTAAACCTACCCATAACAATTCCTTAAAACTATGTAACAAACTACTTTATATCAATAAATGCGACTGAAAACTTCATTAATAAGACAGTGGAATGCAATAAAGTCAAAACATAATGCTACGATATTAATATGCATAAATTGTGATATGTACAAATGTGTACGTCGGTGGATTTGTTCATCCGTAAATAAATTACGTTTTTGTGCTGTCAATACGTAAATATTTTATGTTTTAGTACTGTAAATACGTCAGTATTATACGTTTCTGTGCATATAAAACGTAATCATATATACGTATGATAGAACGACACTTTACGTACAAATACATACGTATTCTCATGAGATCACGTTGTAATTTCTAAAGGATCGTGACAGACTGAAGTAATGATGCTAATTCAGCTTTGCCTTGACATGAATAACATATTTAAATATCTTCAAATAGAAAACAGTTATTTTAAATTGCAACAATATTTCACAATATTACTATTTTTACTGTATTCAAAGAAATGCAGCCTTATAGGGAGCACAAGAGACCTGTAGTTTAAACAGAGTAATTGGTTATCAGCTTGCATCCATATAATCTGATTATTTTTGTTCATAGAAATATATAAAAGTATTACCACTTTTTTGTTGTCAGATGGGTACTATGGTTTGATCTACTGGTATGTATTGTCTACTTTTCGCCACTTTATCAAAAATATTGTAAACTGGATTTTCGGACAGATCTCTGCTATGGAAATCTTTCTGTTTTTCACACAGCAGCTTGCACATTATGGACATAATGCTTGGTTGTATAATTATTATAATTAAATTATTATGAAACATTATCCCAGTATTGCCGAAACAAGGCATGATTTAATTATATTGTTCTCAAGAGTCCTCAAAAGTCCTAAAATTGTTGAAACACACTTAGGTCATAAAGCTTTTTAAATTGTTGCAATTTGAAAGTGATTTTCACCTTCAAATATTAGTCTTTTTTTTTTTTTCAAAGCATTATATCTAAGTACATTGTATGCAATGCTTAAGTTTGGTTGACGAGAATAGCTCATCAGATTACCTCGGATTAACTTGGCTTTAAACTATTCAGTGGATTTGTTTTATCTGAATGGTGTCAGAATGGTTCCAACAACCTAAAAATTATTATGCAAATTGAATTTTATTCACACAAACAGCTTACATGCTCTTAATGGCTGTTTAGCACTTAATTACCCTGTGTTCACACAAAAAAGTGTCATCTTCAAATACAACAGGCTCGCAGCCAAGGCTCCAGCTGTTCTCTATTATCTCCAGGCTCTTTCTATTCAATCTGATGTCAGCCATGAGGTACTTTTCCCCTTAATAAAAATGTCTCTCATTCATGTGGTGCATTGTCTGATGGTTTGGGATGTTACAATGTGGCAAGGTGTGGTGAAGGGCGAAAACATCCTAACATTTGTCATCCTAATCCAGCCTGATTAGCTAATGTGATTTTATGCACATTTGCCACTATATCAAACATTCGTAGTCATCACAGGGCAAAAGAACATGAGAACCAAACCCATCATGTAAGAGAAAACACTTGAACAGCACTCAATGCCACATGGATCAGAGAGGCTTAACAGACTTGAAATAGACCAAACAAATACAGAGGTCACAGTGTCGAGGTTTAGGGTGAACCCCAGGTCCATTACTTATCACAGCAGTCAGTGGCTGTCATTCTGGGTGAGTGCCCTGCCTGGCAGGGGGTATGCTGTCTAAATTAACCTCAGTTGAAAAGATAAACCCCCCAGGTCAGGGGTTAGCGAGACGCACTGATTTTAGAGCTCTGGAAGTAGCGCTCTCCTTTATCCGCATGTCCGTTCAGATAAGTGCTGGTGCAAATGACAGGAAGAACAGAAAGTCTGACAGTGTAAAGAGTCAGGAAAAAAAAGGAGCAGGTAGCACCTAAGCACTTTTTCATGTTTGTTGATGGCATAGGTCTGTACTGTGCATCTGAAAAAGATATTACAGAAGAGGTAGTAGCTCTGTATTATGCAAATAAAGGCCAAATTTACTTACAGCTCGCTCCAGAGCAAACTCTTTTTTTGGAATTAAAAAAACTACTCTCAGGATATACTAAAGAAACAAATTGCTGTGTAAAGGCGTGGACAGGGTTATTTTTACGGCTGAGTTTCCCATTCAGATGCAAAATTTATGGGAGGAGAGTATTTAAATGAATCACTATGGTTTGCGCTAGTCAGTTTACTGGTATTTGCACCATTATTTAACTAAGGGTGTCTTAAACCAGACGCTAATTTGCGTTGCTCTTGGTAGATTTTGTTGGTCATTATGGAAATAATCCGGCTGTGTCGGTGCTCTTTAATTTGCGTGTCATCGGTAGATCACATGCACAACTTTCCACTCCAATCTGCACTTTTTTTAGAATTGCGCTCTCACATTAATTTGCCCTGTTTAGTAAAAAAAAAAAAAAGGATCATCATTTACTCACCCGACAAGATATTGACTATTAAAAAAAAATACTATGGAAATCAATAGGGCCCATGAACTGTTTGGTTACCGATATATTTAAAAAATGTGTTCTTTTGAGTTCAGAAGAGGAAAAAAAAAAAATCAGACTTGATGGTGAGTAAATTGTAACAGAATTTTCATTTTTGGATGAACTATCCTTTTAATGGCGACTCAAAGACAGCAATCCTTACCTTTCAGAGACAAATGTAAATGCATCAATTACTATAAATGCATGATTGTTATGGGGTGGTTGATTGCAATTTCACTTTTTTCATTTTAAATAGTGTGTAATGTTGCTGTTGGTGCATGAACAGTATCTGCACTGAAAGTTCAACGCAAGCAGAGATATCCTCGGTAACACTTTAGAATATGGTTCCTTCGTTAATGAATAACTACACTAGAACCAGTAAGTAATGCAATATTAACAATCTAGTAAGTACCATTAACTAACAAGAAACTCTGATTAACAAACAAGTAATATCGCACAGATGAAAGTGGTACTTCACTATTAACTAATTAATAACTACCATTGTTGAATGCTTCCCAGAGAACTACTGAAAAAGTTTATTAACAATCTAGTAACTACCATTACCTAAAAAAAAAAAAAACTCTTGATTAAAAAACTAGTAAGTAATAGTGCGCAGATGAAAGTGTTACTACATACTTATGTGGGAATTACGAATTATTTGGATCCGTATTATAAAGTGAAGACCATGGGAACTAACTAGTAATGACTCAAATGTTACTAAATAAATTTTCTAAAAGTATACTAAAGTTCACCAAAAATCTCAAACGCTTGAAATGACTTAAATGTTTGGTTGCACAAATATGACTAGATCATGTAGTAACACTTGAGTCATTACTAGTTAGTTCCAATGAACTTCACTTTATAATACGAATCCAAATAATTCCCACAGAAGTATCAAGTAACACTTTCATCTGCGCACTATTACTTACTAATTCATCAGAGTTTCTTTTTAGTTAGTAATAGTTACTAGATTGTTAATAAACGTTTTCAGTGGTTCTCTGGGAAGTATTAAAAAAATAGTAGTTATTGATTAGTTAATAGTGAACTACCACATTCATCTGTGCGCTATTACTTACTAGTTCATTAATCAGAGTTTCTTGTTAGTTAATAATAGTTACTAGATTGTTAATATTGTGTTACTCATTGGTTCTTGTGTAGTTATTCATTAACGAAGGAACCGTACTCTAAAGTGTTACCATATCGTCTTTTAAAAATCAGGAGGTTTAATGCCACTAAACGTTTAATGTTTAACACCGGTGTGATCGTACGCGTGAAAGGGTTAAAAATCAGGAACTTTAATGCCAACAAAAACGACTCGAATGGGACAGCAACAAGATACTTCCCAGGTTTTAATAATTGAAAATTATTATTTTTATATCAATTTTGATCACCGATGGCTAATAATAAAATGTTTTTAAATGCTACGAGTGAAATTAGGCATCAAAACATTATAATGCTCAATAAAAAAAATTAAAAAAAATGAATATTCATTTTGAGATTTACATTTACCAGTGTTTTAACTTTAGGGTTAGCGTTTAATGACAGGAAAGGTCATTGAAATTTAAAATGTGGGAAAATTACATTTTAATATTTTAAATATCCAGTACTGGCTGCTAAATAAATACATCTATAATAACCGTCATACCATAATACCCTTTATATGTATTGCATCCCTACCAGCATTGAAAATAGCTGCTCAGAGCCATTAAACTAGTTAGCTCTAGACTAACTTGACTTTGACGTGTCTCAGTGCTGTTTATCTTTAGAGAATGAATAATAGTGTTCTTATGAGGTCATCTCATCTTGGCCAATGAGAATATCAAGTCTTTCTGAAGTCTCAGTACCTACAACACCACAAAGCAAAGTCTGACAAGCAACTGCCATTTAGCCATGAAGCACTACAGTGGCATAACGGACTTCTGAGTGTTTAAACACTCTTGTTAACCAAGCCCAGAGTGGTTTCCTTAGAAACGGGCGGCAACCCAGAATGCAGTGGGTGAGATCAGTGAATCACTGGAGAATGAGCTACTCTCATGTAAACTTTTCCATACTCTGTGTCTCAACCTAAAAGATCCTCAATTAACTAAAAGCCTTGCACTCTAACTAAAATTCTGCTTTGATTTACTGCCGTTAAGAGGCCTTCACAGTAAGTCTGGAGCTCATGTGTACGTGTGTAATGGGGTAAGGGCTTCAATTTTATGCCTGCTGTGAGAAATGACGTCAAAGCAGCTGGTAAAGTGGCTGTTCTTGCATTCAGGTGTTCGTTTATTACACCATAAACACTTCATGAGCTCAGTGAAAAGTCTTTACCTTTGAAACAGTATGCTCCGAGCCTCATACTGGGATCCGGGAAGCCTGTTTGGTTTCGGTAGCGGTACAAGGTGCGGACACCCAGCAGGCCACCACCACACTGACTTCTGGGTATGGAGACAGGGTGGCGGGCACTGCCGTCAGACAGCCATCCATAATCGCATCGGTCGAGGCCCTGTCTCCAGGCAGCGTGGAGTTGACCAGGTGAGGCCAGCTCTGCATTCATGCTTTCACACTCCGCCTTGGCCTCAGCAAAGGTCATCTTTTTCATTGTAGGCGCGAAGTAAACATTGCCTGGAGTAAAAACATGAAAGAAACATTAAATATCTGAAATTAGCTGAATTTTGAGTTTGTCATAAAAACAGCTTACATGTTAAAAAGCAATAATCATCATTATTAAAGTTTTGCGAACACATTAATTCCAAAGTGCCAGTCAATGAATCAAAAACCCGGATATTGGATCTGGGAGGAGGGGGAATACCCTGAATAATATGACAAACGCAAATAAATTAAATAGCTTTCAGAAAATAAACAAAAATATTCAAACAAATGCTGTGGTGAATAGGATGAAAATAAAAACGAGGGGGAGTTGTTTAAGTGCAGTCTTGGGTGTTGCTGTCAAAAGCTAGAACTGAGGTTTTAATGACGTCTAAGTAATATACAGCAGACATTCCCAAATCTTCTTTCATGAGGCAATGAGACATATTAAACACCACAGCATACAACAGGGTGTTCATTTTATGAATCCATTTTCCATTTGCTCTTTCTGATGTTAGTTGTTTTTCATATCTGTCACAACACTAAAATGAATATATTGGTATTACAGTTTTTGCCCATTGCTTGAACACTATAGAACCATGCTTAGACTAAAGTAACACAACTTGAAGCTTTTTTTACCATGCCTCAAACACATGTACCCATACTTTAAACAAAAGCGTTGCTTTGCACTCTAGTTGCAATTCTCCAACACACTTACTCCTTTATGCAACACACTTGGTCCTTCATACTACACTCTATTTCATACATAAGACACTTTGTTCAAAAATGAAATCTCAGGGTGCCATTTGGAAAACACATGTATTCAAAATACAAAACACATTGGGTTATTGCAACCACTCAAATACACATCCGAAGGCACTTAATTGCAAAACTGAACACCAATCAGCCAGCTACAAAAAGCCCTCAGTTTAGCCATTTGAAGAACTTTGCAAGCATGGATAGAGGGAGGGAGGGCAAGAGAAAGAGGAGGAGGAGGAGGTCAAGGTCAAAGAGGCCATGCACGGACTCTGATGATATACTGTAAGAGCAACTTTGGTGGACCACGTAAACAACCATGGCCTGACGATGAGGGAGGCTGGGCAGAGTCCAGCCACATTTAAGGCGCTTCACAGTGACATCTATAATAAGAACATTCCGACTAGAAAACAGGTATGTCTTCACCTCTCTACCTTCTACTCCACTCAGATGGTATTTACAGCACTATAGTGTATATCACATCAATGACTAGAAGACCTTTTGGGAGAGGACGCCAACGCCTGTTCACACAACAGAAGGAACTCACCATTGTGGACCTAGTGAGGGCAGACAATGCCATCCGTCTCCACCAGAAAATACTTGCTGACAGAACAGTGTTCAACAACATAAACCATGTAAGGATCACCAACATCAGACGCATCTTGGGAAAACACAGCATCACCATGAAGCAGCTCTACAGAGCCCCATTTGAGAGGAACAGTAACAGGGTCAAAGGACTTCGAGCTGAATATATATGGGTAAGTGTAACTGTCGTTTACATGTACAATGCAGTAATGGTGAAATCCAGTACCAGCTGAATATGCACCATATCAGGACCACATGGATCTATTTGGAGAGCTTCACAGGTACCTGTGATGGGGTGAGGGTTCTGTATGGGTGTTACTATAGTGCAGCAATATGCTCTATACTGCATGCAACAACCAACATATACTCACATTTCTAGATGCTCTCCATAATGTATGTATACTGTAATATATATAGTGTTTTTTTCTATTACAGTATTACTGTATTATATATATTTTTTTGCTTTATCTGAATTTATCTTACTACAATGTACAGTGCTGCAATGTACAATATTGAGTAGGCCTGTTTGCTTTTTTGGTTGTTTGAAAATGTTCCTCCTGAAAATATGCCTTCTGAATAAACAGTCAAAATCAAAGACTGCAGTGTTTTATATAAAGTAGACTAGTGTGTTCCCTCTGATCTGATAGTGTTAGCATATGGTGCAAGTATGTGTCATTTTGTCATCAGAGTTACATTTTGACAAAGGAATGTTAGGTTTTGATCGTAGAGTTTCAATTTGACACAGATGTCAATGGTATATTTTCCAGTGTTGTGTCATGTTTACTTGTGTGTAGAGTTTTGGCACAATGAGCGAAATTTTGCAAAATGTGTTCAAGCAATAGGCAAAAACTGTAAGTATACTAAGTCTCCTGACAAGTAATGACAATTAAAAACGTTTTTTTTTTTTTTTTTGGTCATTCTGGCTTTTGAAAGAACTAGAATCTTCTACAAACAACAATTTCTAATCATTATTAGCAAATTACTTGAAATACACGTCATTTTTAAAAGAATACTATCATTCAAACTATCAGCTATCAAATAAAACAGTAACACTTTACAATAAGGTTCATTAGTTAACATTATTATTGTATTGTATTTTAACTAACATGACCTAACAATGAGCAATACATATGTTACAGTATTTATTTATATTTGTTAATGTTAGTTAATAAAAACCCAGCTGTTCAATGATTATTCATGTTAGTTCAGGGTGCATTAACTAATGTTAAAAAAAAACTGATTTTAATAATGTATTAGTAAATGTTGAAATAAACATTTAATACGATTTTAAGTATTGTTCATAGTTCATGTTACCTAAGGTAATTGAATAATGTTTACCAACGAACCTTATTGTAAAGTGTTACCAATAAAACCCCTGACAGTATGTTCTGATAAGATGATGTACATTCGGCAAAACAAGTTTATGTTCACGAAAGACTTGGGATTGAAAAGAAACTCACAGATACCACAGATGTTCATTGCCAATATGGTCGACATTCATTTTTGGTCATAACCGTGGTTTAAAAGCACATGAAATATGTCAGCATAGAGCAAATATAACAGATAAACTACAGCTCTTTCACATTACCACAGGACTTTTGGCCTTGTAAAGAAGTTTTATATTATTTTATTTTTGAAATGAAATACGTTGTAAGAAATAACAGAATACTAAACTCTTACCCTCAAGCTTATCCACATAGCAGAACACGTCGAAGGTCTCTGTGGGCCTGCGTTTGCCATAAGACCTGACACCAGGTTTTCCAGGCAGATTTCCAAAGCAGCCAGGCCTTGGTCTAGTGATTGGATATCTACAGATAGAAACAATCCACACAGAGAAACAAGTTTCTCACGACTGAAAAATAGTACACAATTATCATTTGTTTAGCTTTTGCAATTTCCTTTTTGTATCAACATGTTGACATATTGTTTAGAACTTATTACTGGGATTGCCAGTAGAGAATATAGAAGTACAGGTCGTTTGTGTGTGTGTGTGCGTGAGAGAGTGTGTGTGAGTGTTGCTTCTAACCTCACTGTTTGATCTGCAATCCAGCCAGCATCACACTGGTCAAATCCATCCTCATAGGCAGCTCTCAGCTGTTCTGCCGTAACGATGGTTGCTCCGACATCGCTGCAGGTCTGCACAGCTTGTGCATAGTTCAGAGTGTATCTGCTGACCCTTGACCTGTAGTGAAACACCACGCCTGTTCAAAAGAACAAATAAAATAAACAAAAATGAGCATCTCCTAAGAAAGACCGTTCCATCCATTAACAGTTTTGTTTAATAGGGCCATATTGTATTACTGCCATTGTTGTCAGTGACCGGCCGCCATAAATTTGAAGACTAATACAAACTGCTTTAGTCCTGAAGAGGTCTGCTAGTTGCTTATAAACAAATTAATAAAGCAAGCAGCGTTGGGACATTCATTTGAACGAGGGGACATTCCATCCACCCCCATAATTGTCGCTTTGAAACAAATTCAAATTAAATGAGTAATGGATCTAATTAAAATGGCAGTGTGTCTTTGCTAAGAGCAGGGTGGTGCTGTGATTCTAGAGCCAAAGCAGTTCGGGGCTGACCCATCCCATCCTTTCACATGGCCTGTCCATAAATCATCCCATACAAGATGTCTCCGAGTGTCAAGATGCATCCCAGTCTATCCAAGCACAGAGGGAAGACATTACGAGAGGCAAAGTTTATTGGAGAGCATTTAACTTTTTTTACACTGTAACTATAATCTGGGAGGATCCAAAACAACCTTAAAATCCCTCAACAATTTAGATAATCTGTGCTTGCGGGTTTTCTCCCATTAACAGTTCCACTTAACAGACTGAACTTTCATTTATCTATAATTTACGTTGGTTATGACTGTCATTGATCAATTAGTTTTGAGGAATTTCCCATACTGGCAGCATATGTGCTTCAGATACAACAATGGCGTCTTTAAAATATATATTTGAAATTTGAGAGAAAGCGAGAAGACAAAGCTGTTAAAACGATCTTACCATCGACATTTAAACTAACTGTGTCTTGTGTGTCCTCAATCCCAAACATTACTTCACAGCGGTATGTTCCAGCATCACTTGCCCGGAGCTTCACCATAGTTAGAGAAGCATCGCCAATGTCTTCCGGGTGACTCTGCACAGACACGCGACTCCTGTACCCAGAGCCAATCTTAATGACGCCGTTTTGGGTGACGAGAACAGTCGACTCCACACCCCCCTCGAATTTTGTCCATTTGATGCGCAGGTGATCTGTTCCGGAGGCATTTCTGTTTCTAGGTCCAACGGTCGGGATGATGGAGAAATAACACGGAAGGGTCACTTTCCCGGACAACAAGCCGCTGACGGGACGCATCTCCAATAATGTGCTAGAGACTGAGAGAATGAAAGGCATGAGATGTATACACACAGCTGCATCCACCACAAACCACAGGAAATCATGCCTCACAGTGTTTATGATAATTGAGCTAAGAATTATTTTACTGCCTCTGTGAAGCCTAAGGGTAAGTATACCAGAGACTGTTTTCCTGTAGAAGGACAGATGACCTTGAACAGGGGACGTTGAAAGGATCATAACTGTCAGAAAATCACTATATACTTGGACCAACAATGTGATAAATGCTTTGGACAGGTGGGATTACCCCTGAGGGTAACACCACTGTGTGTGAGCATGGCCTCTCAGAGTGATGAAGTCAAGCCATCTGTTTGCACCAGACTACAAGAAGTTCCTAATTAAAAGGTATAGGTGCCTGGAAGTAAACCATTAGTGGCAGCTAGGGGACAAGAGTTTGTGGGAATGCAGGGTCTGCTCCACAACAGTTTGACCACTTTGGGAGATGCATTTAAATGAATTTTACAATTAAAGAGAAAGATCACGCTAAAATTAAAATTGTATAAGTACTTACCCTCAAGTTGTTCCAAACCTCCCAAAGAGTTTTTATTCTCTTGAACAACAAAAGTATAATTTGAAGAATTTTGGTATCCAGACTGTTGATGGCACCTATTTACTTACATATTAGAAAGAAAAAAAAAATACTATGGAAGTCAATGAGTGCTGTCAACTGTCTGGTTACCAACATTGTTTCATCTTCTTTTGTGTTCAACAAGAAACTCGTATGGGTTTGGAACAGCATGAGGGTGAGTAAATGGTGGGAAAAAAAAATACATTTTTGGGTGAACTGTCCCTTTAAGTTGATTTTTGTTGCAAGAAATAAAATCAAATTAGCCCTTAAAACAGCACAAAAAGAGAAGCATACATTCATTCATTTATGACATGTAAACGCCAGTCTTGCATGAATAAATCCAATGTCCACACTTTCTTCGCCAGATAAATACTTTTGAATAGATGTAAAAATAAATAAATGAAAAGCTTACCTGGTCCAGTCGTTGTTTGGTATATGCAGATCAACCACAATATGTGTCTTATATTTAGCAACATCTTCATGGCTAAGAGGTGAAGAGAAGAATCATTGATTTGATAAGTCACTAAAATCTAGTTGTAAACTGAGCTGAATGACTGAGACATTTGCTATTCATTAAGACTCGCATTTGCTGAACGGCGTTACTCATCTGACTGGCGATGTGGTGGCCATACAGAGTGTTTCCTCTCAGAGGGTGGGTGGCGGAATTGAGTATTCAGTTGTTATAATCCCCTGCGGGGGGTGAGGCACAAACTTTTGCCACCGCACCACTACAAATGCTGGGCTCGTAAAACAACCATTATTAGATTAGAGATTGGCTTTAATTAAAATATAGCTTACTACTGTGAAAGTTGAAAGAAGATGTAGGTGAAATTTTAAGATTTTGTTTTAGTTTTATTTTTCCTTCATCAAGGTACTGACTTGCATGTGTTTGTTTTCCTTACGTTTCATCTCATCGAGTGGGAATAATTAAAAAAAAAAAAGTCGGCATTTTAAAATTGCACAAGTTGCCTAATACGTTTAATTGAAAGTTTAAGGATAGGATAAACACGTGCAGTGATGAAGTCATCACACTTTTGGTCACTCGAATTCATAAACTTATCTGATGATCTATGAATCTGTGACAAAAATTAATGTAAACAATGTTGCATTGCTCAAACATAAAAAAAATTTGCTTTAGCCCACTGCAATATGGAAAATAAAACTAGCCTAAAATTTTATACCGCCACTGTGGCAAAATAAAATCCTTAGACTTAATCGCAGCTACATTGAATTCTGATCAGAGACCGCTTATTTTACGCATGCGCTGCATGTCTGCGCGCTCTTGTATTTCACTCCTGTAGCCTTATGCAACTGGAATTTCCACACTTTGTAATACTTAGATTAGATGCCTATAGTTAATGTATAATAGTCAAATACTAGAATATTTGTAAATTGAGATTCCCTTGTCCTGGCCCAAGCATAGGGGATCTGGAATCTATGTCACGCCCAATGATGTAGCCTACGTTCAGTATCAGAGATGAGAACCGTTACTATTTCAGTTCAGTTGTACTTTTTTTTTGAATAATTTTACTTCTGTGTTCTACACTAAGTGAGGTCAAGGGGAACTTGAGTTGTCTGTATGTGCGAAATATAGGTTCAAAAGCCCATTGTATTTACTCCGTATTCACTTGGAATGTTGTAAAAAAAAAAAAATAATAATCTGAACAACAAAAATAAATTATGATAATAATCATTAAAATGTTGAAAACATTCGTTAAAAATCACATCTAAGCTAGTCATTTAAATTATGTTCTGATTCAAATGTAGGCTGCTCCAGCCATGCAATCGACTGAATAAGTTTGGCAATTAATTACTCTGACTGACGACACTGACATAAATTATTACGGAGACAAAAAAAAAAATGAATGAAATACGGTACCTTTCCCGAAAGTTATAATTCCAAACGAAATAAATGTTAGTTAATCCCAGTTCACAATGGGTCCACATGAAACCTTCACACGTGTCCTTGTATCAGTTTAAATCTCTTTCTTGGACCGTGTTGCTTGCTGTGGTCCGGACACAAAATGTGAACGCTGTCACCAAATCAAATCCATTTTACACTGTAAGTAACTTTAAGGGATTTAGAGGAGGGGCTCACAGCCCACCCAAAAAAGTGAGTGGACACCACCTAGAAGGGAGGTGCGGGGAAAGTGAGGACGCGCGTCACATGTGCCCCAATTGACTAGACAAGACAAAAGTGGGCGCGCGCAATCAAAGAAAATAACATTTACAACTAAATACGAACGAATTAAAAGAAAGTGTCACATTTCCCTTTTCGCTCCGAGGTGCAGAGCACAGAAGTAAATAAATTATACCTTTATAATAGCCTGTTAAGCAAGCGTTTGCCTCAAATAGAAATGAAAAAAAAAAATAATAATAACTTTTGCATCGTCACTTAGCCAATTGTGGCTCGTGGTAAAACAAACAAACAAACAAAGAAAAGAAAAAAGCAAACAAACATGAAAATAATTCTCGTTAACCGTTTAATCAGTTTAAATAAATTAGGCTACGTGAAGTTTTTTTTTTTTTTTTTTTATTGTTCCCCCAAGTCACCATTTACGTTAACACACTCACCTATGAATTGTTTCCGTATTAATTTGAACTCAACAGTTATTTGGTGAATCACATCATATGCGCTGCAACAGAGAGTTGCCCCTCCACACGGGGGAGAGCCAACTTCAGCAATAAGACAAAGCAACCGGATATTTAAAAAGTTATAAAGTGACTCAATGAACTTTGAGGAAGGTTCATGCTGCAATAAATGACAGCGCTTAATATAAATCACTTTGATATGCTTTATTGTTTTGTTTAGATTTGTAATTAATTTGCCATTGTACTGAAAGCACAGTTCAACCTTTCAAATAAAATCCATCTGATTTCACTTCACACTGATTTTATTGTTCACTTGATTACCAAACGAATAGGCTATAGCAAATAATAATAATGTAATCAATATATTCACACACACACACACACAATCTAAGTTTAAGATGGTTTTGAACAAGGTCTTTGAAACCAACATGCAAAACCCTATTAGAGAAAACAAATTTGCACTCAAAACCAATTACTGAGATATAGTCCTTGTGACTGAACAGTGTTAGATACACAAAACAAACCACTATAGCCTATAAGTGGACATAATGTGGAAGATGGCATCATGGCAGTATAATTTAGATATAGACACTAATCACAGTTTTCTTTTACAGATAGCACTTCATAATTCCTGCCATAAACTTTTAATCTCTAATGGTCGAGAGGTGCATTTCCAGGTCGGTGCTTTTCTGGCTTACTTCCTTCCAAGATAACGGATCTCATTTTCATCTGGAAAAGCTCCCACTCCTCACCCATACCTTCACCACATGCCCAGGGTCAGTGCTTTAACCATTACTCACTTCCATTTACTTCAAATGAAATAGACATACCTGTCACAGAAAGTATCTTTATACCTCTTGTTGACCGATGAATGTATACTCATCACTTTTGACATACTGTATCATCACAAAATCAGCACATTTCCCAAAAGCAACACTATCCACAGTACTAAAAATGTTAAGGACTTGACATTTCCAAGTAATCAGATTCAGTACAATATATCAAGAAATAAACAGAAACTGTTTGCAAGAATGACTATACTGGTTCAGAATGGTAAGTTGTTAATGATATTTAATTATCTAAGGTAATTTTTGTTATGCACTGGCAATTATGTCCTTATTTCCAAGACACAATGACAATTTTCTTTTTTTTTTTGTCAAATCACCCAGACATATCGCTGATTCAGTCAGATGACTCAGGTCTTACAGGTTGATCGGCCTGTTTTTCAAACATCATAAAAGTATGGAATATTAGCTCAAACTAGATGATAAATCAGAGAACCATAGCAAGAAATTGTCTTTTCATTCACTGGATCCTTTTAAAGGAACCTTTGTAACGTTCACTGATCCATACGTACAAGCTACATTTGTGATTATGTAGAACAGTTAAGTAATGAAGGTTTAACTGAATGCATGTTACAACAAGCAACTTGTGATCTGTCACTTTCCCCGACAACCTTCACCTGCTTGTGTCCAGACATGCCACATAATCACATATGACTTCTGTTAGGGAAACATGGTCTTTGGAAAAATGGATCAACTGGTATAAATACAAAAACAATCATTACAAACAACAACTGTTGATATGCCTTAAACATTCTCCTCAAGGTTCACAGAGTGTGGCAGTTGTTCCAGATTTAACTCTGAGCAGGTCTGTCAGTAATGCTCTGTTAGCTCCAAATTAATAATTCCTAAGCACAGTAAGGGAATAGAAAGTTGGGAGATGGAGAAGAGCGGGATCATTTCCATCCTTTCTGTGGAAAGCAGGAACTACATCACAACAAGCACATGTAGTCAGAACATACGTAAATCACTTAAGCATTTGTTTTATTGAGTGTAAAATCAAGTAGATAGGCCAGAATGAGTGTTAGTTGTTAGTGTTCATTGTGTTGGAAGGGTGAAACAAAACATAATGACCAAACAGTGTTTACAGCATTATTCCCACTGAGTGTAAATCAGACATAAAGTGACCATTGACTTTTTTTCTTTTTTTTTTTTTCAAATATTGGATCTTAAATGCATATACTGGGCCCTCAGTGATGGAATTTACAGGAGTAAAGCCCGTTCACATCAACAATATAAACTAAAACAATAACTAATTACTATATTAGGATCCACACCACACATGTTTTGATTGGCTGTCAATGTTTTTCTGTTCATCAGCTGGAAAAATTCTGAAAATGATATAACCAATATTGTGTTATATTTGTAGTGTGGGTTTTGCTATCTTAAATTGTTAATGCAATTTCTTTTTTAAATGTAATGCTTAAACTTATCATTCCAGTTATCGTTTTTTTTTTGTTTTGTTTTTTTGTTTTTTGGTGTAAAAGATCTCAATTTAACAAAAGCCCCCATAGCAAATGTTAAAATACACTATATTACATTTACAAATTGAAAATGTTTGAATGCCACTCCATTTTTGTGGACACATTTAACGCATATTCTTAAATGCCAAAAGTACAATCAATAAGAAAGCTCACAATATGTATTCAAGATTCAGCATTTTGGTTGATAAATAAATATAAATGAAGTGGTTACATTATTTAAAAGTAAGGAGAACCCAGACATGTAAATGATGTTATTATAAATGATATAATTACCATCATTTATTAATTTCCAACCAAACCTTTACCTCTGGGAAGCAGGTGTACAGTAATATATATATATATATATATATATATATATATATATATATATATATATATATATATATATGAATATCATTAAGTTTTATTTTAATTTGCACTGAGAATATTTTAATATAATCCGTAAACAACATTTAATAATAGCCTCAGAAAGTGGATTCATATTCATTACAGATGCAGGACCCTATTTATTAACTAGAATCACTTGATTTTTTTAAGCGCAAATCCATTGCATTTGTCATCTGTATTGTTCGTAGTCCACACAGTGATCATCACAAATCAACACTACAGTGTTTCCTTACATTGACAAGTACTTGTGAACCTGTGTTCACTGTCTCTGTCTGGTCACGTCTGTCTTACAGCTCACACTTGTAGGAATGTCCTGTCTGCTTCTGTCAATGTGGCTGTAAAGTAATTAAGGGGTAATTAAGAGGTTTTCTTTGTTATGGACACAGGAGAATTGTCTTGAGCTATAGAAATTATTCAGCCCATTGGCAAGACACAAGTATATCTGTATTACAATTTAAAATAACACATTACATTTAGGCTACGGTATATAATAACTATGTAAGTTAAATAAATAATGTAAGCTGTTCACCATTTTGTGACTGTAGTTTCTTCATTTATTTTATTTTTTATTTTTTTCAAAAACATCTGGCCACAAATTTGTCAAATAAATGTGCACTAAAAACGTATTTTGCAGATGAAAAGATTTCCATGTATGTGCAAAAGTCACAAAAAACAAAGGTTTTAAGCCAGTTCTTTATGTTTTGCTGTAGCCTGTCAGTAGGAAGTATCAGTTTACATTTCCAATCTTTCCTTTTTGGTATTAATTGTAATAATCCAGTGAGATTTGTGTATGCACAAGGAGTCTGACATTAATATATATAATATATATATATATATATATATATATATATATATATATATATATATATACTTGTATATAAAATATTACACATAATATTTTTGAGTAGTTAAGGCTTGATTTCTTTCATGGAATCTATCTGAACAAATTATGATAGAATGAACTTATTTGTGCACAAGCATTATAACATTGTGGTTTTTATTTTTTTGTCTTTTTTTTTTTTTTTTTTTTCCCCAATGAACAAAAGCAACATGCATCAATGTATCAAAGCATACGGTTATTCACAACCTTACAATAATACTCTTCTGCACAATGGTAATGATCAAAACTTCAACAAAATAGAAACTCTTTCAAATGTCAAACATAACTGAACATTAAACATTAACAGATGTTTCTCTTTACTCAAAACACATAAAATCACACTTAATTTCAATATTTCCTCTCCATTACCAGCCATGTGCAAAGCATGCTGGGGAACTAACAATGGTGTATCTAAAACCACACAATTGAGCTAATTCTCTTAAAATGAATTGGAAATAAAAGTGGTACCTTAATTTTATCAGCTTAATCGGTTCCTCAATTCAAGCCTCAAAATTGTAAATTAAACAATTTTAAAAAAAAATAGGAAAATGTATCTCTTGGTTTTATTAGTGAAATGTTCTCACTATTTTCTATACAACACCGAACCACAATTTTCTTGTAATATACACAATATTTTTAATTATCACCTTTTTTAATGAAACTTACAAGACCCATGATTAATTTTTTACAGTGTGTAATACATAAAGAAACTACCTACCTTCAGTATATATAATTAGTATTATAATAATTCTTTGAAGTATCA